AAGCCCGTCCAGGAAAACGCCGATCAATCTCAAAGACCATCGCAACACAACACACGCTTCCCAAGCTGGAAAGGCCCCCCCCCTTTACTCTCTCGTTCTCTTTACCTATACGTCTCCTTTCCATCTATACACACATACGAATGTATGTATGTACATACGTATCTACGTACGTATGTGTGTACATACCAGAAGACCCGTTGTAACAAACACCAAAAACTCAAAGACACAATACCCGCATATGCAAAGGTTTCTGTACGCATGTAAGTATTTAAACATACGAGCGTGAGCACACACACACACATGCATACATACGTGCATACATAAGTGCATAAATGCGTACCTACATGACCTAGATGTGTACATGCTCGGTAACTGATCGAAACCATGTAATTAGACATAAATGCAGCAGCCATCCAACATAATTACATTCGCGCGAAGAAAAGCTTCCCGACTACCACCTTCGTGGCCCAGGGACATCAAAGCGCGCAATCTTCAGCAAGCGCACGAGGCGAAATGCTCGAATGATGCCTTGGCTGCCCACGCCCCACATCGTGCAGAACAGCCCCTACACCAAGCCAGGACTGCAAATCTGAAAACTCGTTGCCTGGAAGGGAATGGAATTAGTGGGAAACGGGCTGCTGATTGTTGGGACCCTAAACCGAAGCATCCCAAATGGAACATACGCCAGAACACCAAATGCCGCACTCGGGTTCGATTGCAAAATGAATGTGTTGGTGAGGCTCGAGGTGTGAAAGTATGGCGGTGCAGAACATAGCGTGCTTGTATGCACGCGCGTATGCAGGTATTGCATGAATTCAGGCATGCCCGCCTGCCTGCCTGCATCTAAATCTAAATGTAGGTAATTATGAACACATACATACATACATGCATCCATAAACACACATACATGCATTTACACACACACATACCTGCACACCTGCGTCCATGCATGCACTACGACTGCAGCCTGCGCCTGACCCGTTGCTTTTATTCTTGAGCTTGCAAGAAGGGATCGTGTACTGGACACGTAACTTCTGCAAACAAGTCGCGGATGCTCAGTATGTGTTACCAGGTTGAGGAGCTGTCTATGCTGGATTATGCAACGAAAGCGCTCTGTGAGATTTGTATCTTGTTCGAACACCGGGAAGGCATTAAAACCGCGTGGAGAAATGGAGGAGCTGTGTAACTTCTTACTCGGAGCTTCGTTGTTTCCTTGCCGCGCTCCTTGATTCACAAGTTGCAGAGGCTATATTGTTCCTGTTTCTGGTTTTCGAAACAAAGAAGCGAGGTTACATGTGTCACGACGGACCTCGCTGTTCATTAATGTGAAGAGTAAAAAGAGCCCGGTGTCTCTCCACGGAAAGTTGGCAATCTCATGTCTTGTCGGTTGCTAGCAGGGTCCCAAACATTGGCAGCGCTCCGAAACACACAGCCTTTCATATACATCGCCACCAGCCAAAATGGTGGATTTTCTGCCTTACTAATTAGAAAACTGAGCGGCTGCTGATACCACGTGAGACATTGCAGCAGTGCTGAGTCCAATGTGTTGATGGGAGGTTGACAAGCTCTTCTGCGAGTTGGTAGCTTACAGCTAACGTGCGGTCCACAAAGAACACGTCCTCTAATGATTTCTGGAGGAGCTGCTATGTGGCGGCTTCCGAAAATTGGGGGTACCTTTTTTTGAGGTCCTTATAACGAGGATCCTACTATTTAGGGTACCGTATTGGGGTCCCCTATTTTCGGAAACTCCCATGTGGAAACCTCTTACGTTCCATGTTGCAGTGGCGAGCTGTAGCTCTGAATAGTGCTGGCTCAAAAACACCAAACCGTCCACACCGCTCAATTTACCTAAAATTCCATCCACTCGATCAACACCCACCACTGACGTGGGATGCGTAATTTTGAGACCTGGGGCTCTCAATTATTACCCGGTATGTCATGTCTATGTTTGTGTAGATCATACAAACACACACGCGGATGCCCGGAAAACTACGGAACGAACATATAAACATATATGCACAATGGCGGGTCGACCAAGTAAATCGACAATTGCTTTGAGTGCATCCTTGACTTGATGGTCTTCCTAGGAACTGCTCCTGAATTCTCTAACAGGCCCCTACTAGTACAGAAGTCCCGGTCACGTGCAAATCGCAACACCGTAAGGTCTGCTCCTCGATCCTCAGCCAAGACATTTGCAAGCGTGACATAGTCCAGAGCGACCACGCAGACGTCGAGAACACACCTTGATTCTGGAGGTTCAGAGAACAGTGCACCCTCATATATATCCGAATTCGCATGTTTCAATATCCAAACTCTAAGCAGTCTTTTTAAACTGCCTCCTTGCCCTGGGTCGCCAAGTTTGTTTACAACAGTGAATCTTCGGCTTTTCAAGATGCGGAGGAAATCTTGAAACTTAACTTGTGTGTTACTACCTCCATGGCCTTGGCGGTCCGGCCGCCCTCCACTTCTTCAATCAGTTTCACCATGTTTCACCGCAGGATCCCCAAATGAGGCAACCCTGATGCTACGACCATTCATGGGGGGGAGGAGTGAAGGCTGAGAGGTCTAGTGCGTGCACAACAGCTGATACGAAGTGACCAGGGACTGCTAAAGCGGCAGTGAGGCCGAGGAGCCAAGTCTTGACATAGTGGCGCACAATCGCATGCCGGTCGTAGACCAGGGCGCCTTTCGAGTAAAAGGCGGTGTTCACGTTCATGAAGATGTCCAGTGTCCAAAAGAACACGCTGGCGATGAAGTCCAAGAGCAGGATGAAGCTACCAGCATCTTGAGTGCCAGAAGTCCAGCCATAGGCCAAGGAGAGTGGTAGAAGAATGGTGTCAACGATGAGTAGGAGCAAACCACAAAGATCCCAAATTACTCGTGTTTTGCCTAGTGGGTGAAACAAGCGCAGAGGTAAGTCTGGCGGCCCCCCCGACATGTAGGATGGAGCATGCTTCAGACCTTTGAGAGAAGGCATCCGCCGGTACTCGGATAGTGCAAGCCTCGGAGAAGCTCTGTGTATGGACTTTCCGCTGGTTTCGGGCAAACAACACACTCGTGGCCCCCATCGCATCCAAGCGGCACAGCCTCTGTTTGCATTGACAGCTGCATCCACCGATTGTGTAGCCTGACTTCCTTCTGATTCCCAAGCAGTGTTGTGGTCTGCGTCAAAGAGCTCACAGTCCCGAGCGGCCAATACCTGTGTCTCTTCCCGGCATGCAAACCAATCAATTTGCAAAATCGTGCTTTGTGGGCGCTGGTAGCAAATCCACACGGCCCACCGATGGCCACCCAAAACACAAACCGTTAATCGCTTGCACGGAACCAAAAAATGCTCATGATGATTATTGTTATTGTACTATGCTGTATTGGATTATATGATGTTGTATTACATATATAACACTTTTCCCAATCAAACCCAGCCACCAGCCGATGGACGCCTCGAACTTCTTCTGCCGGTGCTCGATCAGCCTGGGTCTTTTGTTTAAAACAAGCATCATCGGCAGAAGGAAATCACAGAGTCTAGAGGAAGCAAAAGCAACGGGTTTGTGTGTCTGACGACAAGGTCATCAGCTCAAAACAGCCTCACACCCCAAGCACGCAATCAAAGAGTCGTCTTGCCTAGTGACGCTGCAGGCTCCTCCACTGTAATCTGGTCCTCCATGCTTGTGGTGCGACCACGCCGCCCTTCCCTCAGCTTCGGATTTCTGTGCGCATGTAACCATATGTGTATATATATATATATATATATGTGTGTGTATATATATATATATATATATGTATATACATATATCTACATATAAAATTATGTATACCATGTGAAGACTTGCGCAGGCACGACAAGGCACGTCTCTGTCATCTCGTTTGCAACTGCCTCTGTGTGGGACAAGTCTTCCACTTGCTTCTGCAAGGCATCTTCCATCGCACTGAGCTTGCTCTTCATCTTTTGCGTGAAGATTTCCACATCATTGCGGAGAGAATGGATGACATCGAGCTGGTGCTCTACCGCCTCAACGGAGGAAGGCTCCTCCACGGAGCAAAGGGCTGCCATGGCGCTGGAGAACGCCCCTTAGGCCCTTGGCTGCGTGGATGGCAATCTTTGAAGGCCTCCTGGCTGTACACGTATATGTATACATGATCGCATACTCATGCATGCATGCACTGATTTGATACGCATGCGTCAGTGCAGCCGGCGTACATGTGCATCCGTTCAAGTTCTGGGCAGCATCACACTTTCCGCTGTCTGCACTGTCACATGCACAAGTATGTGCATATGTGCATACACCCATAACAAGCATATTACATACCTGCTTACATGGATGCACATGTGCCAATGCGGCCGGTGTGCGTGTGCATGTGTTCCTACCAGCATCCAAACAGAGCAGGCCGAGACAGTCCTCTCTCCCTACTTGAGCACATGTACAAGCATGTACATATGTGCATGCAAAAAATACCCAGGTACATACATATTTTCATAGATACAAGGTTGCACATACACACATTTATACACACGATACCAGCATATGCACAGGAGACATTGGTCGACTACTATCAAATAATGTACCAAGCTGGTGACCGTGTTGGAGTAGCACATTCCTGCATCAACATGCCTGGAAGTAACCGTGCTTTCTCAAACCGACACGATTCTCTTGAGTGCATTTTAAACGGTATCTGAAATGGCATTTCCAGCCAAAGCAGATGTCGAGCTACAATTAGCCCTATCGATACATACATCATACATCCATACATAATTACATACTATACACATGGGTCGTTGTCAACATTATGCTCCCTTTTTGGGTACTCTAGATACTAATTAGGTGCCGTACTACATTAGGGACCCAAAAAAGGGGCCAGAATTTTGAGAACCACCCACATCATAGGATCCTTATTATCAGGATCCCAAAATAAGGCACCCCTTACTTCGCCTTGAAGACCACCCACATGTACATGCGCACGTACACACGCGGCCTGAAAGCTTCCGGCTCTGGGGCCGATGCGCGGTCAGCAGACCCTTCAGCTCCAAGAGACGAACGGCCTACGAGTAGGGTTTAGGGTTTAGGGTTTAGGGCTTAAGGTTTAGGGTTTAGGGTTTAGGGTTTAGGGGGTTTAGGAACCCTTAGGGGGGTAGGGGGAGGGGGGTAGGGGACTATACTTTCTGTGTTCCGGGGGGGTCCTTATGATCAACTCTTGGGGTCTGGAGATCAGCTCAAGTTGTCCAGAGACTTCGAATTGGTTTCGGGATTTGTTGCGCACGGGGTTCAGTGCCGTACCAGCACAGAAAAAATCACGAGAACGGCTCAACCAAATATCTGTCATCAGCTATACTACGTTCTGGTTCGCCTCGCCTTCAAATCGAACCCAGAAGCACGGCCAGGTCATACCACGAAGGGTTGACGCAAGGGAGCTTATGAACATGATCTATATACTCGGCACCTAAGTCAGCACAGGCTTTATCAAGCATGAACCCACCTTGCTTGCAATCGCTCCGTTTCTCGATCGACAGAGTCATGTGGGTGAAACCGCAGCTTGGGAATCTCGTCATCACAAATGCGAGTGGATGTTCCAAGCTGTTCCCATCAGGAAGACATACCTCGGACCACTTGGAGGGACCGGCCAAAACGGCGTGCCATCTGGACACCCAGACCTACAAACCCAAAGCCCTGGACCCTTAAAGCTACAGCAGCTACGGTAAAACCCTTTGAACACCCATTGGCCAAATCTGGTCCCAGGTTCACATAGGCCGGGACGTCGACACAAAGCGCCTCAGCCAAATCAGGACGTGCTTGGCAGCGGACGAAGACAAAGCTGTGCAACTGCTACTGGCGCACGAATGTGAGCACCATGCGGGCTGTTGAAGCGATGCTCTATAACTCTATAACTTTAACTATTGAGCGCGCACAGCAATCCACAAACCAACACGCTAGGGCCGACTTTCGCGCATCCTTGGCTATTACAAAGTTTTCAGTGGAGAACAGCAGAGGGTGTAGTGGCTGGCAACAGTGCGTAAATATTCCTAAATCTTGGTAGTGGCGCTTTTCAAGCTATCCAATGCTTGAGCGTGCAATTTGCACGGTGTGCACGCCGTCAACCCCAAATGGGAGTTTCCGAAAATGGGGGGACCCTAATATAGTACCCCCAATAATAGGATGTTTATTTTAAGGCAATAATAGGATGTTTATTTTAAGGACCCCAAAATAAGGTACCCCTAATTTTCCGAAACCCCCAACTCTTCACGGAAGTCCCGCGGCTCGACGCCTTGCTGCCGCTAGCAACCCCAACGGCCCTCCACTACTAAAGAGGGAATGGGGATAGTGCTTAAGGGATCTATAAGGGTTCCTTTAAGGGATCTATAAAGGTTTTAAAGTTTAAGGTTATTATGGGAGTTTCCGAAAATAGGGGACCCGAATATGGTACCCTAAATAGTAGGATCGACCCTAATATGGTACCCTAAATAGTAGGATCCTTAAGATAAGGACCCTAACAGCCACTGAGTAGTTCAGCACTGGACCGGACAACCCTCAAACTCTCCAAGCCCGAGAGCTCTTAGCCCAGAGCCGTCAGGAGCGCCGCAAGGGCCGTAAGGAGAACGCCCAACTGCCCGAGACTGGCGCTCTTCACAAGCCGAACTGCGTCCTCCTCAAACACCGGAGGTGAGACTAGCAGAGCAAACAAAGAATTGTTTAAGGTTTGGGGTTGGAGAACTTCGGAAGGCCTTGGTTTGGCCACCTTCATCTACGAGCACATCGTCTTTGAAGTACCGTCCTACGTGCTCCCACTGCCCGCTGCGACCGGAAAGTATTTGGTACGATGCGGTATGTGGGCAGGATCGAAGGCAGGTGCCAATTCTGGAAACCGGCTCCAACAATCTCCGTGCAGGAAGTCTGCACAAAAAGTCTTCAAAAAAAGCATCCGGTGTCGAATAAATAACGAAACCAGGTAATTGTGGAGTCTGGCGACCTCCGTTGCAAAACTACTGTAGTTGCTGTTTTGATGGCTCCTGATGTTCGACTTGCACTGCAGTCGTCACGAGAAGCTTTTGGCCGTTTCGCAGCAGGTATATTTTGGCCAACGCGTCCTCTGAAGCCCTATTGCAAAAGCCCGTGCAACACAGCATGCTCTCACACTGCTTCTTACTCTTCTGTGCAAGCTGCAAACCATCCCAGAACAGACGGGAATAAGGCATTGTCCCAATGTGACTGCTGCATGGCAGGTCCTTCTCTTGCAAGCCCTTCTTCAGGACCAGGCAGCTAATAGCACAAGTTGAAATCAAGGCCACTGCACCGATCTGCTGAAGGAACGACTCAAAGCTTGTCTCCTGCGCCGCCTTCGGTGATGCGGCTCCGAGAATCCCTGGCCCTCCACAGCTGACACTAAAGTTGGCTAGGCCTGCATGTGTGACTTGCCGATGCCCGCGGCGGCAGCATGCTGCCTGAATTTGGGGTCCAATGCGTGTGGGTGTGTGTGCATGTTCGTGGGTTTGTGGGTGTGGGTGGGTGGGTGTGTGTGTGGGTGTGTGGGTTGCCGAGGGTTGTAGCTACAGTCGTCAGCAGCAGCGACATGATGGAAACCGGCTGGCCGACATGCAGGGTTGGCCCGAGATGCAAAACACATTGTTGAATCTTGGGCCGCCATCCCTGCTTGTCGGCCAAGTGGGCCGGATGGTCATGCAGTCCTAGTCAAGTATAAATGGATCATGGTTTGAAGCTTGAAGGGGTTCTTTTAAGTTCGCAGGAGGGCGAGGAAAGTACGCATCAATGCAGTCACGAGTTCACACATACGTGAACGACCCAAACCGGCCTGGGGCCTAAGTCATGCGTCTGTGCTCAGTGCAGGCTAGAGGCAACGTCGAAATCGTCGCTTGCGGAGATGTCCTCAGATGTTGTCAGTCTGCCTTGTCCGCATTCCCAAGGAAGGATCCCGCAGTGCATGCAAAGCTCTGGTGAAAGGTTCGGTCCGGCTCCTGATGGATAATGCCCAGGACACCTCCGCATGAGACAGGGGGTCAAAGCTCATGCATGCTTGGGCTCGAGCTTTAGATTCTGTTGCTCGCCTCACCCGCTGGCTCACCGGGTCGTGCTGCAGGGAGAGGAAGTCTACAGTATGGGAGCCGAATTCAACCACAGCCGCCCTTGTAAGCCAGCTGCAATTCCGGGGTCATGTGGATCAGCACTTAACTCCAGAATCTCTCTACAGTAGCATGCTTCCACAGTGTAAACAATTTTCGGAAAGAGCTAGAATAGGGCGTATTCTGATGAAGTACTAGTACACATCAGAATACGGATACCAGAAATTCCGTCTACCGATTATGACAATTAATATACACATATACATGCACGGGCGAATACTGGACAGGAGAGGTATGACACTGGTATGACATTCCCATGCATCTTCTTGTTTTAAGCGAGGTGCAGGGTGCTTTGGGTCAGGTCAATTCATGTCAAGACTGGCTTAGGTTAGGGCTAATAACGGGGCTTTAATGATTAGAATAAGGTTTTGGGGCCCATTTCGCTATAATCATAACACGGAGCCCCCAAAACAGTATTGGTGAATACTAAGGCCCCGATATTAGCCGGTTAGCCGGTGAGCCTGCAGCCATCCAGCTCAGCAGCCCCATGTGGCTCAGTCGCAAAGGAAACATGGTCGCTATGAGCTACCAGTACAAGGGGGTGTAGGCTTTACCTTAACCCCAAATAACCTACCTTTTAAAAGTTTAAGGGCTCATATAGGGAAATCATAATAAGGAACCCTAAAAAGGTAGGTTCCTTAGGGTCCAGGTAGGGTTTAGGGTCGCTATGAGCTACCGGTACAAGGAAACCAGCTTAGGAGTCGGCTATGGTATGCTTCGCTACCGAATATGCCTGGTCAGAGAGCCAAAAAAGAGAGCAGAGCCGGACTGCTCGAGCTTACTTCCTCACCTTCAAAGAACCCTCTCTGCCTGCAGATCGAAAGAAGAGTTACGCACCTGAACACCTCACCCTAAAACTGTGCCAGAAGCAAATCTATGTAGGAGTTTACGAAAAATTGGAATCCTGCTCGGGGGCCCTATTTAACAAGAAGATCTGAACTAACCTTCGGGTTTACATGAATATCGAGTCCATACATCTCTAAAATGACCTTTGAAAAGCAAGATTGAAGGTCTTGCTGTAGAAGAGCCTCGTGCTTCTCCTCCGAAGTCGCTGAGGACCTGGGCATTTTCTTGATCGAATTCTGTCGCAATGTCACCGAAATGCCGGTGCAATCGCGGATCTTTGAGCATATTGCACATGTTTAATCCTGAGCCTGCAGGAAAGTACGCCTTCATTCAACCTTGCAAGCTGCCCAGTACGGTATGGTCAACACCGCCACTGCCGTCCCTATGAGCACCCGGCGGAACCTCATCTCTCCTCAGTGGATGATGAGGCTGCTTTCTGCTGGCGACTATTGCATGGAGCGACTGGCCTGCAGCATCTATTCCCTCCTGCGTGTTCACAATGCAATGCAGGGCCTGCGAAAACCGGTACTATGGTCTTAAACCCGTACTAAGGCTCATTGCCCGGAGCCGTCGGATTATCATTTACACTGCCAAGTTGCGCGTTAATACCTTTTGGCGGATCTGGGAGTTTCCGAATATACGGGACCCTCATAGAATACCTTAAAAAAAAATCATCGGATCCTTTTTACAAGGACCCCAAAATCAGGCACCCCTAATTCTCGGAAACTCCCCTCTGGGCATCTGGCAAACCAAGCACGTCGAAGATCGCCTGCTCCGGCTTCGGAAGCGTCTTCTTCTGTGGGGGAAGCACCTCAGAGACGACGCGAGGCCTTGTTGCCTCACACCTTACATGCGCATGATTCGCATGATGATACGGAGGTTACGGCAACCCAGTGCTTACGATGCTGCAGGAGTTCAGGAAATAATTTTGGGGGGCGAGCTAGGAAAGCTTTGACAGTGTAAACGTTTACGTACCTTCTCCTTCCACCTCTTGATGGAAGCTGGCGGGCAAGGACTCAACTAGAACACATGAAGCTCTCGACCGGCAAGAACACGAGGCGAGCAAAAGCCCAAATCATCAAAACCTCGGGATCGCAAGATGTTGCCGTCCATCCTGAGACATCCTGAGTACCAGACCTTATGCATCTCCTTGAAGGCTAGGGGCGCATACTTTTGCAGGACCTGGGCTGCGTGGCTTCAGCACTCAGAACCGGGCAATTTGCCTGGCGAGGTGTCGATGTGTGCTCTAGGGCATATAGAGTTGAGATGCCGGGCTCGGGAGTTTTGAAGGCATCCAGATCCGTGCGCGGTGCTGCGGCCTGCATCAAGACACAGGTAAGGATGACGAGAAATGTCATGTCACGCTCCTAGTTTACGATGAGGCCCGAAAGTGATTGCATGTATCATCGGGCTAGCTCGACACATCTAACATGCTACTGTGTGCGAAATCACGTGAGTACACGTACGTCCTTGCTGGTGTACCTACCTATCTATACCTATCCACAGGGGCATCTACCCACCTCCCTATCTCCCGTCTATCTGCCTGGATCCATAAGTGTGCCCAAGCTCGTATACGTAGAAAGGGAGGGCCTCTACGGTATGCAGACACATGCATATGCACATGCACATTTGTGTCTCGGTGTGTGTGCGACTATGGCTCACTTCTGTCCGGGTCTGTATATACTTGGATTAGCATAACTGCATGTAAAATGGTTACGATTCGGCCGCTGCGTGAGATAGAAGAAGTTAAGATTGGTGAGTCCGAGCCCGGCACTGGAAGTATCGTGGACTCCGTACTGGACAAAGCTGATGGATCCTTCGCAGGCTCCACAGAGGGGGTTGGAAACGAAACCGCAAAATCTTGACTCACGTAAAGCCTCTCGAAGGAGAAAGTGTGGCCGAACGTCAGGCTTGTTATCAGTCAGGACATGAGCGCATTTCATCCGAGACTGTGCTGACCGGCGTGACCGCACGACTAAATCTACAACCTGACGGACACTGAAGGCTTGATATTTGCTTGAGGGCATTTCCGCGTGTCGCGACAGCCTCAGCTTGGCTGGCCTGGCCTGTTTCACGAAATTTTCTGTTGCGATGTGCGCCAACATGTCTTGCGACCTTCTCTGGTCACGCGGATACTACAGTACTTAGCACAGGAGCTGGGCAAGACAACTGGGAGAAGAGTCCGAGCATTCATCTGGCTTACCGAAATGGAGAGACCTGTGGATGTTGCATGCTCTGGTCCACGGCTATAACACATAAGTTCATATAAGTTCATATATGCCATTGGGCCAGAGCTTGCTTCGTCGCGGTCCGTGTCTTGCAGCATCTGCCAGGCAATGGCAGTGTCGAATACGCTGCACCTCGGCTGCAGCTGGGCATCGCGAATGCGGCATTCCGGGATGCTGGATAAGCTAGGGCAGACTTACCGTTGTCCGAGATCCTGACAGCTGAATGTCCAACCTGTTCATGGCAAGTGTCATGCAATGCACCAGGAGCATTCAAGAAGAGCAACACAGAATGGGAGTTTCCGAAAAACATCCCCTAATATGGGGTAGGACCCCAAAATAAGGTACCCCTAATCTTCGGAAACTCCCACATGCCAGTCGATGCTCTCCAAACAGGACAGGCTGGCAACGACTGGAGGGCATCAGCAGCCATTCGACAATCGTGCATAACTTTCACCACCTGTTCAGCATAGAAGCAAAGGCATTCATGCTGGACACATCACTGCAGAGAGCTGTTGCAAGATCTGCTGGCAGAACCGATCTCTCCATCCATGTCGGATTACAAAGCACCGGAGACCCCCAAACAATCGCTGGCAGACACGCTGGAACGGAAGCTATTGGACGAACATATCGAAACAAATCTGAAACATCTCAATAAGGCACCAAGGTCACTACCGACGGCTGGATGGATGGATGGATGAATGGATGGATGGACGGTATTGAAAGGTAAACACTTTTAAAACAGGATGAGATTCTCAGCTAGTTGCATATGAGCATACCATGACACCACGTCTGCTGAAGGAGTAAGAAAACTTTGATCGAGCCGGACGTCGAATTAAACTGCAGCATTCAGAAGTTTACAACATGCAGAACAAGATCGTGAACCAAATGTTACTACCAAAGGTCTAGCGGGGGAACAAGGATGAATACACAGATAGTGATGGTGGTCTTGAAAGGGAACTATAATGATGATACACTTCATGATGGCGGTCTTGGCAAAATGCCTCTCGCATGCCTTCCGCATGCCAATCAAGCTCTGACCAACAGTTGGGCTTTGTGACCGGAAGGAGAGGGGAAATGAATACAAGCACTTTAGAAACTTACACTAGAACAAGAGATTCCTGTACATATGCATATATATATATATATATATATATATATATATATGCGTGGGTCTACATTCTACATACATTTTCGGCACACAGTCTACGTACATGCCTGCATGCATGCATACATACATACCCGCACACACTCTCAAATATAACTATATTATATGAGTATTGTACAAAGACAAGTGAATGTGGATATAAGTGCAAACACATACCTCTGCATACATACATGCACACGTAAATGCAAAATTACGGTCCTTTTTGGGTTTCCCGAAGTAGTACAGAATCCTAATAATAAAACGAATTCGAAACGGAACCCTAATTTGGAGAGCTACCCACACAAATGCATACACAATATATGCATAAACATATATACACACACATACATATATTTATATAGATATGTATATATATGTGTGTGTGTACATGATTGCGTTTATGCCGGTAGCTCTGTACGTGCATACACATCTCTGTAAAACATGTCCGTGTATATGTACGTAAACGTATTGTGTTTACCCTTTTCTCTTTATACACAAGGTGACTGCTGCAGTGACACCTCTTTCGCCTCCAGGAGCACTTTTAGAGATTTTTGCGCCTGCAGCAGCACGAGCTTCTTGGTGGTAGCAGTGGTACTAGTCGCAGTAGCGATCGTAGAAGTAGCAGCAGCGGCAGCAGCAGCAGCAGGAGGAGGAGGAGGAGGAGTAGTAGTAGTAATAGTGGTAGTAGTCGTAGTAGTAGTAGTAGTGGTGGTGGTGGTGGTGGTGGTGGTAGTAGTAGTAGTCGTAGCAGTAGTAGTAGTAGCAGCCGCAGCAGCAGCAGCAGCAGCAGAAGTAGCAGTAGTAGTAGTAGTAGTAGTAGTAGTAGAAGTAGTAGCAGTAGCAGTAGCAGTAGTAGTGGGAGTAGTAGTAGTAGTAGCAGCAGGGCTACAGTCGACCTGGTAGCAGTAGCAGAGGTAGCCGTAGCCTAGCCGCAACAGAAGTACTGGCAGTGGTGCTGATGGTGCTGTTAGCAGCAGGAGCAGCAGCAGCAGCAGCACAAGGAGTTCAGGACATCAACTCAGTATGCTGCAACATCCTCTGGGAACTTTTTGTCGTCCCTCGCGGTGTCCTGTCGATCATCACACCTTTGCCCTGCCTTTGCCTGCGGCTTCGTCAGAGATCCACCCGATTCCAGTGTCAAATTCAAGTCAAGGTCGGAACGAAAGCACGGCTGGGGCCTTACTTCCTTTGAGCAAGTCCTGCCGAAGGCCGTGTTGGAATCTAGTCTGGCTGAAGTGGTGCCACGACAACACCTGACAACAGCGAAGCCTACACGGCGGCAAACTCTCCCATTCAGCATCGGCAACGGCAAACCGTGGCATTACTGCGGAAATCCACGTCATGATAAAGAACCTCAGGCATGCTGAAACACCCACAGATCATTAGGAAAACGTTCGAAATCCCAACTTGCAACACCCTCAAGGCTCTAAAATCGATACCTTTTAACTCCCAGGCCACTAAACCCTCAAATTCGAAAGCCTAAACCCCAAACAATATGGTAGAACCCTTATAGTAACCTGTATAATGTTTCAAGACCCACTGCGAGTCCTCGGAAACAAAAACTGTAGCCCTCCCCTTCTCCACCTCTGCCACAAGCCTCAGGGTGCAGTCAAAGTCGAAAGGCTCGAATCTGGGGCTCAGCAACACTGTTACAACGCTCTGAGTTTGGATTCCGGGAGGTTGACTGTCTGTGGCTTCATTTCGCTTCTGCTCTCGTCGAGACATCCCTCCAGTCTCCTGTGAATCTTCGTAGCCGGCGAGAGCACAAGCCTCATAATATCGAGCATAGCTAGACAGTTCGTGCGGCAAGCTCCGTGAGTCTCAAGCACGGTCTGGATGTGACCGTTGCGATGGAGATCACCCACGACCTCGTGCTGGGGCGGCTGAAGAAGACACTGGGCACACAAAATTTGAAAAGCCAACATTTTGCGAATCCAGTCATAGGCTGATATTGAGCATGTGTCCAGCTTCGATGCGCGCCCCTCACAAACCACCAAACGCGGAGACATACACAAGAGCACTCCCGGAACAGCTGAGCAGCCAGCTGCCACAGCAATAAGGTTCACCTTCCTCTCGATCAATGACTCCAGATGCTCCTCCGTGGCTTGGGCCTCCATAGCTCCATTCGAGAAACCCGGCGGTTTTGCCAACCGCAGTCCCAAAGGGTCCAAGTACCATTATAGTGGGTATTTGGGCCCCCAAAGTATATACTATACCACTATACTTGGACCCTATGGGAGTGCAAATGCGCGTCCACATTGCACAGGAAGGTAAAACGAAAAGGATGAGAGCAACGATGGCGCAGAATTCAGGTTGTCGTCGTCGTCGCTGTTGTTGTTGCACTCGTCGTGGCAAAAATACGAGCAGTATGGCAAATCGTCGTCGTGTAGAAGCGTAGCAGTCACCTTGACTGTGGTAGTGCAGCGGTACAGCATTAGAAGGCGGAGGAGCAGCATGCACGCCAGTATGTGTATGAGCGACTGCATCAAAAGGTGCCCGCTTCAGCTTCGCCTGACCGTATTCCTCCTACCCCTACTTTCTGCGGTACATGTTCTTAACGCGTGGTGGTTAACAATACCAGGCCACACTGCCTAAACCCTGCAAATAAACGCTAGTTTCTGCAGCTAACGCATTACAGACAAAGAAAGCCAGTGATGTCGCTTATGAAAGTTATTGCGGCAATGCTGGTTTGTCTCCGCAGTTGGGCAGTGCTGGCTGCAGTGATCTTAGTCTGGAAGGGCCCACTACGCCATATTGCTGTGCCAGTACAAGCAACGTGGGTAGCAGTAGTAGTAGTAGTAGTAGTAGTAGCAGTAGTAGTAGTAGTAGTTGTTGTTGTAGTAGTAGTAGTAGTAGTACTCGTAGTACTCGTAGTAGTAGTAGTAGTAGTAGTAGTAGTAGTAGTAGTAGTAGTAGTAGTAGTAGTAGTAGTAGTAGTAGTACGTAGTAGTACGTAGTAGTAGTACGTAGTAGTAGTAGTACGTAGTAGTAGTAGTAGTAGTAGTAGTAGTAGTAGTAGTAGCAGTAGTAGTATTAGTTAGTTAGCAGTGAGCAGTTAGTAGTTAGTAGTTCGTAGTTAGTAGCAGTAGTGGTGGTAGCAATTGTTGTGGTAGTCGTCGTGGTGGTCGTGGTGGTGCTGGTTTTGCTGGAGTAGCAGGAGTAGCGGTAGTAGCAGAAGCAGCAGTAGTAGTCGTCGTAGAGGTGCCGGTTTAGTGAGTAGTAGGTTGTAGGCAGTAGGCAGTAGACAATAGGTAGTAGGTAGTAGGCAGTAGACATCAGTAGACAGAAATCGTGACAGTAGCAGTGTATAGCAAGAAGAAGAACCAGCATCAGCAGTAGTAAGTACGAGCACCTACTGTAGTAGCCGCTACAGTAGCTAATGCCAGTGGAGCAACGCAGCAGTGGCGCCGTGATGTGGCAGCAGCAGTAGCAGCGGTTCTTGTTTCTTGCTCACGAACACTACTCTGAGCCCGATGTCTTGTCGTCAACCCCAATCGGTGAAAGCATGGGCGGCCTTCTTCTCAGCAGCCTTCCCCTTCTTAGCGGGGGTGTCTCGTGCAGCTGGGGAAGGCGTGTCGTCCTTCAACAAGAGGTGTCCAGCGAAACATACCTACGAGAGTGCCGCGTTAGCATCGAAGAAACGGCAAGAGCCCAAACCTGAAAGCCGGGGAACTCTAATCGAAAAAAATGTCATCTGTTGTGCGTGCGCGTACGGCCTCGATGCCTTTTCAATCGGCAGGCTACCGCAAGAACCGGAATCTTCAGACGTGGACGGACGAAACTTGAAACACAGCTTGTTTTTGTGGGCAAATTTCTCTCCGCCCAGTCAGGGCCGACGGAAAGGAACCCGTAGGCTGTCGGGGACCCGGGGCTGCGATCGCAGTTCAGGGCTTGATGCCACTGGATACTGCGCCAATTCCATCAGCACATCCACATTTACAGAAGTCCGCAAGGCTACTTTATTGGGTTCCGAGGGCCCTCGCTGCTTCATGCTTTTCGAGGTCGCCTCACAGACCTCGACCTGGGTTCTACGAGTGTTATCGGAAATCTATTGCCAAGAGAATCAAGAGAAATCAAAGAAGCCAGCTTACACGTAGCCAAGCAGTTTAGCGTCACGCATGTGACAGCGGGGCAGATCTTGTCACATGCTGCACAGGAGAATCAATTTGCCTCTAGAACCTATCAACAGCGGACAGACAAACTCTTCGGTTCCGTGGAATCTACACACCTCTCTGCAACAGGGTGTTTGCGGTGCCGTGTCCTCAGAGATCTCCGAATCCTTGGAGGAGCTGTCTCCGAAAGCACTGATGTCGTCCTCGAGGACTGCGCCAGCCAAAATCTTCCTCGATAGGCTGCTGACGGAAGCGAGGCTTAGATAGCTTTGCGCACTGTACGTGCCTATGTGCACTCGCAGCGACACACGCCATGCACAGCCATACGTATGCAAATGCTAAGCCACATGCCATTCTTGTGCAGACCAAGTCAGCTCGATCTCTTGATGTCTCAACGAGGTTACACAAACACGCAAATCTAGAGCTGCACGATGCTACACGTACAACATACCTACATACATACATACGTCCATACATACACACAATAACAACCTATCTACACATGTACCGACAAACCTACTTACATATAACATGACATCTATAGTATGTTTTGCATCTTATATATATACATATATATATATATATATACACATAGGCATTCCTTGCACACATACGTGCATACATGCATTTCTTACATACATATACATGCATAAATACCTACATCCATGCATGCATGCATGCATGCATGCATACTAAATACTTACACACCTACATACATACATACATACATACATACACGCATGCATGTAAAATTCCATGCATGCATACATACATACAAAGAAAAACATACCTACACATGCAAGTGAGTGAGTGTGTGTGCGTGTACGCCCCCTATATAGACTATAGTGCGATCAAGTACATTCTAATTAGTGGGTACAGCATAGCAAAGAATAGTATAGTATCGCATATAGCGCAGTACTGTATACAGCATGTAGCCAAGCACCGTCTTCAGTATAGTGTAGTATACGACGTACACATTATGCATTCACAAACTTGAGAAAACCTTCACCTAGCTTTCGCATCGTTAACTATCGTTCGCTCACATGCCCAGTTTAGATGCAAGCACGCATCCCGGAATGTGCCTGCAGCCTGCATGCTGCAGCGAAAAGCATGCAGGCTCACCCATACATGTAGAGGTGGTTTGACTGTTGGGTTTTTTGGGTGGAGGGGGTGTGCGTCTGCCATGGAGCGGCGTGGTTGTTGAGGAGTTTCGTTTTCAATTCCCTGTTCTGCGGCCAGCTTTTTGGAAAACGCACTTTGGAGAGCCGTGCTTTCTCGATTTCAGCAAACAAGTAATTGGGACATCAAATTTGCAGGGTCCTTCCTGGCGGCAAGGAGTATTGCAATTTGCAAGGTTGTCTTCTGCATGGCAAAAAATCGAATTTGCTGGCTCTGCTTATGACAAGCTGCCCTCGTTCATGCATGCAGTCGTTCATGCAGCCATTCGTTTGCAACCACAGTTCATGCTGTACGCGTGTGCGCACGCCTGAAATACATACACAGGGCATACACCTGAAGACATGCGACTGTAGATGTAAATGTTGGTGTGGGGATAGAGACATAGATGGGAAGAAAGACCAACAGCTGACTGGAACTGGAACATCTAAAAAATACTGACCAGAAGCAATTGCACCAGAGACACCAATCACAACACTACCTGAATACCAAATTCAATTCAACTACCCGCAAACTTATCCCCACCACCCGAGGCCAAGAATCTTACCTTTGGTTAGTAGAGAATGGAAGAATGGTAGCAATAGTAGTTATAATTGCACCCCATTCCTCCATTCCCTGCTAACCAAAGGTAAGGAATAGGAAAAAGTTGCCAACATCACCCCCAGCAGCTGGACATCCGCCTCGAAGCTCCCGCTGTAGGCGAAGGTGGAGGCTTCGCCCTCCACACTCCTTATTATTGGTTATTTAGGGTTTAGCGCTTAAGGTATAGGGTTGTTTCGTAGTATTTGGGGTTTCGGGTTATTTGGGGTTTCGGCGCTCACACTCTTATTTGGGGTTTACATACGGTTTCGGCGCTCACACTCGGACAATACAGGCGGGGACCCTAACATGGCACCCTCAATAATAGGATCCTTGTTATAAAGACCCCTACTTTTCGGAAACTCTCATTTCGGATCGATTGCCTTGTTGGGGGCTTCCGCTGCCAAAGACCTCGGCGTATTGTGGGGGGTTTAACAAGTAGAATAGGGTCTTGGGGTTCCTTATTATGGTTATAGTACAATATACCCCCAAACCCAATTCTAATTATTAAGGCCCCTAGAATAAACAAACAGCATCATGAAAGTGTATATTTAATATATGACTAGAGTAGAGAACTAAGAGAACAAAGTATGGAATGCGTGGTGCGTAAGTGTAAGTTATGCATAGTTATGCAAGATAGAAAAGGCTGGCAAGTGGAACCGCAGGATATGTAGGAAGCAATCATAACCACGCTTATGCGTACCCTGAAGACCTCACAGCCGGGTGTCGTGACAGTCGGCGGGCCCTTCGAGGATGCAGCCGCCGCTTCCTGCAAACGTCTGAGGGGACGATGATACCAGTAAGAACAGAGACACGTGTAGATGCACGCATGTATCTCTGTTGGTGTTAACAGGCTCACAGAATTCTGGAGGACAGGTTCGTGGTTACTTAAGGCTTTCTGCGCTTCGCTTTCTCCTGCTGCTTTTGAGACTTACCCCTCTGTGGTTCTGTCTTCTGGGTCTGTGGCATGGCAGAAACATCGGTTCAAGGACCACGAACTCGAGGGAGTTCTCTCAAAAAAAACCTACGCTCACATCAGACATACAGGGCCGGCCTGAGACCGGGGCATCTTCTTCTCCATGTTCTGCTTTGCCGTAGTATCTGCCTTCGACTTCTTCGGAGATGCTTCTTTTGCCGGGCGACTCTTGGCGGCCTTGCCCTCAGCCGGATGCTGCTCGGCCACGGATAACACTAATGATCAGAATGTAAGAATTTAATAGTACTAAAAATGAAAAAAACATGATTAGTTTTGTGTGCAGACAAGCAGCGGATGCGACAGTCTTGGAACGCTTCGCGCTACTTTCTGCCTTCTGTGTTGCTGCATCCCTGTTTGCGGAGCTGCCGCAGCTCTTCGTTTGGCTGGATGCCTTCTCCTGCAGGCACGGTCGTGATGCCCAACATATATGCACAAGCAAGGCCGCAACAGTTTCACACAAGTCTGGTGTCCTTACAAGGCTTTGACACCTCTTCTTTGTCTTTCGGCTTTGCCGTGGCATCTACTGCCGTCGCCTTCGGTGCCTTTTTTTCGACTTTCTGCTTTGCCGTGGCTTCTGTCGCTGACTTCGTCTTCTCGGCAGAAGCGGCTCGTGCGGCTGGCTTAGAGGAGGTATTGCCCTCGGACGATGCTGCTACTCCGCCGCGCATCTCAAACTGCCACGAACTGTATCAAATCCGCCGAGGCCGCAGGTCCAGGCGCTCAGGTACCCTCCACCTAATCCTCTCCTTGCAGTCCGAAAGTTTGGTCGCACCCGTTTTTTGCATTAATTTCCCCCCCCTCCCCCCCGCTTTATTTTACCTGCTTTTTCTGCCCTACCCCAACGGCCCCCCCCTTTTACCATGTGGGTCTCCGGCAAGCCGAGGCAGGCGGCGTAGCGTTAAAATTACCAATGACCAAAGCAAGCAGATCCAGTTGTTCGGCTTGGATGCCGGTCTGTGCGCAGACAAGCAGCCGCAACAGCGTTGGAAGCTTTCGTGTCAGCTTCGGCTTCCTGCGTTGCACCTGCCCTGCTTCTGCGAGAGCTCTTCATTTGGATGGAAACCTTCTCCTGCACACAACGATGTGGTCGCCCACAAAAGGCTCCAGATATCCAAATAACAATTGATACGCATTTAAGGCCGCACCAGTCTCACACAAACCAGGTGACCTTGGACGGCTTCGACGCCATTTCTTTGTCTTTCGGCTTTTGCGTGGCATCTGCTGCCTTCGTCTTCTCAGAAGAGGAGGCTGATGCAGCTGGCGTAGAGGAAGCTTTGACCTCAGTTGCCAAGTTGCCGAATACTCCAAGAAAGTGTGCAGCAAGTTAATCCGGTTCACCCACTTCGGCTGGGATGCAGCTCAGGCTGGTTTTGTGACGGATGTGACAGTTTGCGTGCAGAAAAGCGACCGTCTCGACAGTTTTGGAAGGCTTCGCGTCGCTTTCTGCCTTCACTAGGGTGCTGCCGGAACTTTTCGTCGGGCTGGACGCCTCATCCTGGAAGCGTACACTGCAAATCATGAGAATCTCTCCCAGAATCGCATGCAAAAGACCGCAGCGCTAACGGAAACAATTCCAGCTGGTGTCCTGCGAAGTGATCGGCGCCTCTTCTTTGGCATCTGCTGCTTCCGTCTTCTCTACCGAGGAATCTGGCGCAGCCGACTTTGAGGAAGCTTTCGCCTCAGATAATGAACGCTGCTGGTTTCGAGAGATCTCAACATGCAGATAATTACACACATGCTGCGTGCAGAAAAGCGACCGTCTCGACAGTTTTGGTAGGCTTCGCGTCGCTTTCTGCCTCCGGTGTCACTGTCTCCTTCACTAGGGTGCTGCCGGAACTTTTCGTCGGGCTGGACGCCTCATCCTGGAAGCGTACACTGCAAATCATGAGAATCTCTCCCAGAATCGCATGCAAAAGACCGCAGCGCTAACGGAAACAATTCCAGCTGGTGTCCTGCGAAGTGATCGGCGCTTCTTCTTTGGCATCTGCTGCTTCCGTCTTCTCTACCGAGGAATCTGGCGCAGCCGACTTTGAGGAAGCTTTCGCCTCAGATAATGAACGCTGCTGGTTTCGAGAGATCTCAACATGCAGATAATTACACACATGCTGCGTGCAGAAAAGCGACCGTCTCGACAGTTTTGGTAGGCTTCGCGTCGCTTTCTGCCTCCGGTGTCACTGTCTCCTTCACTAGGGTGCTGCCGGAACTTTTCGTCGGGCTGGACGCCTCATCCTGGAAGCGTACACTGCAAATCATGAGGATCTCTCCCGGAATCGCACGCAAAAGACCGCAGCGCTACCGGAAATAATTCCGGCTGGTGTCCTGCGAAGTCATCGGCGCCTCTTCTTTGTCATCTGCTGCTTCCGTCTTCTCTACCGAGGAATCTGGCGCAGCCTGCCACGGATCTCAAAATGCAACCAACGATTCGACTAACATATTCCAGCATCTTCTCTTGTTCGGGTTGATTGCAGACTAGACAGACAAGAAGCAACCTCGACAGTCTCGGAAGGCTTCGTGCTACTTTCTGCTTTCAGTGTTGCTGTCACTTGTGCCTGCGTGCTGCCGATGCCCTTTGTGTCGGTGGACGCCTTCTCTTGGAACCACATTAATTGCATAAACCTTCTGGACTCTTTCATGTTATATCAAGCCTGCAAATATCAAACCAGCGCCCAGTTCAATGCACAAGCATCACAGCTCCCAGTTAAGAGCCGTCGAGTCTAGCATGAACGCCCGATGCCGCAGGAGACCTCCAGATTTACCTACATAGCCCCCCCCCCCTCCAAGCACCCTATAATGGACCCCAAATACCGCTATTAAGGGCCATAATACCGACTATAAAAGGGGCCATAAGAACTCTATTGAGGAGCCTTTGGGCTTGGGGGGGGCGCTGGTAGCCAGAAGACTTCACCTACTTGAAGGGCATCATGGGGAACTAAAGGTTAACCCTTTTTGGTTCTAGAGATTCTATTGGGACTCTACTACCCAAACAAAGTTAAAGGTACTACTAGGTTCAGCGAAGATCCTCAGAACCCCTAAACCCTGAACCCTAAATCCTAAACCCTAAATCCAAAGCCCTAACCTTTTTGCTTCCGGTCTGCAGCGCCTCTGCCGGGTCCGCCCTCAAGCTTGTTCAGCCCCTAACCTAAACCCTTTTTTGAGCACGGGCTTGAGTTGTATGCCGGCAAGCTGGGCTCTCAAGGTCTTCCTAACCTAAACCCTACATCCTAAACCGTAAACCGGTGCCTCATCGGCTGTTTGCTCGGGATCTTTGTCCTGCTGCCTCTTCGCCTCAGGTCACCAACTCTTTGGGGCTCATTTGGGAGTTTCCCAAAAGAGGGACTGGGGATAGTGCTTAAGGGATCTACAAGGGTTCCTTTAAGGGATCTATAAAGGTTTTTAAGTTTAGGGTTATTATGGGAGTTTCCGAAAACAGGGGATCCTAATGTAGTACCTGGTAGGATCCTTATTACAAGGCCCCCCAAAATAGGGTACCCCCCAATTCTCGGAAACTCCCAATTCGGGCATGAAGTCTGGGCCGGGCTTTAGGAATGGAAATTATGTATGCCTATGTTGCAGCATACTTGTGTTTATACAGGCTACAGCTAGATCATGTAACCCATGCAACACGCCATGCAGACGAGCAGCGGTCTCGACGGTTTTGGAAGCTGTCGCGTCACTTCTTTCCTCTGCCGTCTGAGCGCACAACATGCTTCAAGTCGAAAGCAGTTCTCCCGACATTCACTCCGCAGAGGCTCCAGCCTCTTCCACTTGCTGCGTTTCCGCAGCCTCTGCCGCCTTCGTCTTCTCAGAAGAGGAGGCGTGCGTTTCTGGCATGGAAGCTTTGACCTCAGCTGACGCTTCAGTTCGACATCGGAGACTGTAATCCGAAATCCCGGGTACGACACATATTTTACAACTTATAGTATACATGTGTATATAAAAATACACACACACACACACACACACACACACACATATATATATATATATATATATATATACATACCTTTGACATACATATCTGTCTATATTGTATACCTTTCAAAATATCTAACATATAATACTGCGTATATATGTATGTACATGAGAAGCGGCCAGTCGCAACACAGCATGCAAGCGAGCAGCAGTCTCAACGGCCTCAAGCTTTGCATCACTGGCTTCTGCCGGTGTTGTTGACGCCTCTGCGATCTACCATCAAAGCTCTGCACTTGGGTGGCGCTTCTTAAGCATATCTTGCAGTGCTCAGTCGCTAAACTGGCAGCCTTGTCTTCGACTGCCGAGTTTGCTATCGCGGAAGAGGATGCTTTGTCCTGAGATGCAGGTTGCATCTGGGTCAGAGTTGACTGGGACGCTGTCGAGAATCTAGGTTTCGTGACGATAGAGCTTGCACAAAGGGTCTACCTGCAAAAGAAGAGTTCAGGAAAACAGGATTCCTCACCTCCGGGACCCTACGTGATCGATCTAATGTGGCAGTGTGTTTAATCCCCCCTAACGAAACACTGATACTAGCAACATGCTTTATTCGTCTTATAGGCGCCGTCTAAAAGGGGTGCTGTAGTGTATTCCACTTGTTCAGGCCCCTGGCTACTACTATCATATTCGTCTGCCCCAAGCCTCCACAAAGCCATAATCAACAAGCGGGCTTCCATGTTCGAGACTTTCTCGGAAATCATAGAATCGGCGGTCTGCTGACTTGAAGACTTCGCGTGTGAAGCGGCCTCAGTGCATGGAGCTTAATGGTCTGGGGTTCTGAAATTTGTTTAAGCACCCACACTCGGTTTGGGGGTTTTAGGGTTTTGATGTTGTGGAGCTTAAACTTGGGTTTGGGCTTGTGCATTGCTTGATTTCCGACCTTTTCTTGCCTCCTACGTCGCAAGAACAAGCCCGAACACCCCTGCGAAGCATCTAATGTAGGAGCCTGGCTGAGAAACACGAAAAGCCTTGGGTCGAAAATCAGATGCCATTCGAAGACCCTACACCCTGAATCCTCTGTACCCTACACCCTAAGCCGGTATACCCTAAACCCTATACCCGTACTGAGGCCGATGCCTGTGACGGGAGAGAGCGTGCTCCGAACAGCTCGCAGCAACAACGGTGCATTCGAGGTGCATCCAAGTCCAGATCTCAGAGATCCCTAAACCCCTAAACCCCGTAAGGAGGCGGCTGCGAGCCTTTGCTCTTGTTCCGAACCGCTGAGCTTTGGCAGTTCGGTGAGCGTGGCCTTGTGGAAGGATCTGCACACATATGGGGAAGTGAAAGCACAAAAGGCACAGTCTTCTCACCTTCACAACAGTACATATACAAATACATATGCATATGTGGTACACACGCTCCGGAATCCACCCCTTTACTCTGTGCATGTCTACTATATCGGTATAGTCTTGGTCTGCACACATATCTCGTATCGGCGCAGCATGTACATGCATATACGAATGACCCCCCAAAACTAAACATACCAAAGCCCACAAGCCAAAACATGAGAGTGTGTGTGTGTGTGTGTGTGTGTTTGCAAATACATCTACGAGCATGCTTTTATGTATGTATGTGTATAACATGTATAATAAAATATATATGTATATATATATAAATATATATATATATATATATATATATATATATATATAAATATATATAAATATATATATATAAATATATATATATATATATACATATAAACATATTCACATGATCTATACATATGTAAGATGGTGGGGGCATGCATGTATGTATGCAAACATGTGATAAGTGTATGTACACGTACGTACATACATACTTGCATCATACGTACATTCGTACATGCGTATACATGCAAAGGGAGTTTTAAAGGGTAATGAAACTTTGCAAGTTTCCATCTGTGGCTTTCTGTCTCTCGGACCCGACGTGCCCATGGGATCACTCGACGCCCCCTGGTTTCAGAGCCAATAGAAGTTTCAGTTGTCAGGCTTGTGCTGCTGCACTGTCCTACGTGTCGACAAAGGACACCCTAACACGTGTCGACAGAACCAGCAGCACATGAGCCCTCAGCAAAACTTTGTCCGCTGTGAAGCTTGGCCCATCTTGGCCCCATTTCTGCGTATCTCCAAGCTTATTACGCTTCGTATTATTTTCTCGATCTTCCGAAACATTTCTCGCTCTCTCTTTGCATAACTGTAACGTCTCATCTGTCTCGTTCTGCCGTGGGCGCCCAGGAGTCCGTGTCGACACCTTCACGCCCTGACTCGTGGCCATGCTCGCAAGCAAACGGAAAGACGCACATTTTCCTTATGTCCAAAACTATACAGAGCTTGAGTCAAAGGGTTGCCCTGAAACCATTGATCTCGTGGGCAGCCGCACTACCATAACCAATTGTCCGGGCACACTCTTTGCAAACTTTGAATCTGCAATCCATCTGCTCGGAACCTATACGCATTGTGCGCACCGCAGAATGTCAGCTTAAAGCCACATCTGGATCTCGAGCCACTTCTTTCCGCTTCAGGTGAATTTTTTGGTGTGGTGAATTTCTTGGGGCCGCTGCACTTTGAGCGGCCCCAAGAAGGAGTGAAACCGACGACACAAGATCAGAAAAACTCATCCACGACCTTGATAACTGTGGAGCATGGCTGCATGGAGACCTGCTGAAGCTCTTAGAATGGTTTTCTCGCAGAAGTCCTGCGGAGAAGGCCGTGCAGCTCTTCGCTTGCCATTGTGTCGCAGGGATCGACGGCGGATGTGGTGGACAAGCCAAGATTAAATCTCATCATGTCGAGCTGCATGACTTCCTTGTTATCATTCGGCCTGTCCAAGCGGATGGGGGGATTCGATGGCACTTTTTCGTCCTTGAACTAGACTGCGACTACCACTACCACTACCACTACTACTACTACTCCTCCTCCTTCTGCTGCTGCTGCTGCCGCTGCTGCCGCTGCTGCCGCTGCCGCTGCCGCTGCCGCTGCTGCTGCTCCTGCTCCTGCTCCTGCTCCTGCTCCTACTACTACTACTACTACTACTACTACTACTACTACTACTACTACTACTACTACTACTCCTCTGCTGCTGCGCCTGCTGCTGCGACTGCGACTGCCACTACCACTGCTGCTCCTGCCGCTCCTGCTCCTACTGTCGCTACTGCCAATGCCACTGCCACTGCCACAGCTACAGCTGCAGCTACAGCCGCTGCTACTGCTGCTACTGCTACTACGCCGCAGCCACCACTACCACTACCCCCACAGACGACGACTACTGTGCTGTTGGAACTAAGATGAGATAAAGCTTGGCCTGGAGATTCTTGGCCGCTTGGCAGAGGCTGCTTCATGCGGACTCACCACCTCGTAGCATCGATTGCGGAAGGAGGTGACGGCGTCCTTGTCCTGCGCGGCCGTGGGGTGCAAAATTAATTGCGATTCGCTTTGCCCCTCTGCCACCATGCTGTTGCGGCCTCCCCATCCTCGAAGCGCATCCAACATGCACGGGCTATAACCTGGCCGTGCAGCTTGCCCAGAAACATGGGCAAAACCAATCCCTACCAAGAACAACATGTTCTCTCTCGTTCTCTCTCTTCCTTGCTTGCGAATCCCAGGCCCTAAAGCCTACCCCAAAAGTTCGCGACAGTCTCTCGGCCCCTATTCGGGGCGGACTCTCTCTTTCTCTTTCTCTCTCTTGCTTGCATGCTTGCTGCAGGCCAAGGTTCAGAGGTCTGCCTCTCTTTTCTTCTTCCCCGGGGCATGAGGGGTGTCTTAAGCCCCTCGGCCTTGAAGGCTTTTGGAGGAGCGTGAAAATCGAATGCGTTCTCTTTTACGACCGCAGCATAAATCCGACAGTTCTGCAGGCTTGAAACTACAGTGTCGCAGGCCGCGTCAGGCACCTAGGATTCAAACAAGACTGGTGATGCAATCCGATCCTTGTAGGCTTAGGAAGGATTTCGTGCTTCCGGCCTCGGCAGCATGGCGAGTGCCTGCCTTTGTGATGCACGTCTGGAAATGCTGCCCTCTAAAGCGGAAGACCGCACGATTCCCGTCTTTCGCGTCAAACCTGTCCGGACATCTCGTGTTCAAGATCGGGTCACGGTGATATCCCCCCAGAGCCTCAAGTCAAATGATAATAATAATAATAATCATAATCATAATAATAACAATACTAATAATCACAATAATAACAGTAATAACAATAATCATAATAATAATGATAAGCCCTCAGCCCCCACGATGGGCCTCACTCGTTTATGCGCGATGTGTCCGGCGGGTGCATCAGCAGGGAGCAGTTCATACTTCTCCGCCATGGCCGCACTCGGGTGCCAAACCGTGCTTGCGGATTCTATATGGGAGTTTCCGAAAATAGGGGACCCTAATATGATACCCTAAACAACAGGATCCTCATTTTAAGGATCCCAAAATAAGGTACCCCTAATTTTCCGAAACTCCCATATGCACGGCGGCTGACTATGTTCTGAGATATTCAGTACACGCCCCTGCTCAGCTCTTCATGAATGTGCTAGAACGGGCTTCCGACTGTATGATATGCACGGTGCACCTGGTGCACAGAATATTTCCCGAGTCTTCATCTGACAACAAAAACACGGGCTAAGTACAGGTGAATAGATGTGCAGTCAGTACTACGTGCGGGAAAGTGGGCATTCAGGCAGACTTTCCCACAAGTACTGCTTGAGCAAATCAAAGTAACACAGCAGATCTAGGGACATGCGCCGGGCCTACCACAGACAGAGTTGCTCGTCCGGTTCATGGCACGATACGATTTCTGCTCGGTAAACCCTTCCAGTCTATAAGCCATAAACTCTTCGCTCTTTTCCCCTAATCCTGACTCCGAACCCAGACGCAACGCATCTCAGAGCCGTGTGTGGTTCCTGCCCGATCCTGTTTAACAGAGTGTCTAGCGGCCCCTTCAGAAGGTCCCTGAGGGAGCGGCATCATCAACAGCACTGAGGTTTGCCTCAAACCCCGCACACTTTAGACTCGCACACCGCACAAGCAGGCACGGATTCCGCTCCATGCACTTTAGGATTGCTTGGACTCTTACGACTCGGACACACTTCAGGGGTTTCTGCACTCGCGGGCAAGCCGTTCAAGGTGCAAACAGACGTGTGACAGCCGCTGCAAAAACAGGTCTTCACTTACAGTAGATGCCAAGAGGCACCCCGAAAGCTACTCCGAGGAGTTGATTTCCAGTCCAGCTGACAGCCTGCTGCTCGTGTCGTTTTCTCGCCGTCGAAGCAGCAGCGCGCTGCAACTCTGCACCGTTTTCTTGCAGGCCCACTAGAAACACACGAGCCTGCAAGGGCGCGAACGACGCATCTGTTCTACTACATATTATCGTCTTAGAGTCATGGATGGAAACTGCGAAACTGTATAAGCTGTCATGAAGGTCTGAGTCAGGAAATAAGAATGGTCTATATACACTCGCTACCAAGATCGTACTGAAACAGTCATTAGCCTATCCCATCTTCGAAGGATGGCGACGATGCATGACAAAGATCGTCGTCACGAGACTCAGGATACAATATTAACCAGCTAATTGAGTATCACCCGGCATGACGAAGTCCTCTGGTATGAGTGGGCGCTGCAAGCAAAGAGGGCCCTCCAGTTCCGAAGAAGATGAACAACAATTGAAGCTCGAGAGTATGAAGTCCGGAGGAGGTAACCACCTTTACATGTGGTACTGCGTACTAACTTACTTGGAGGATCATGGGACTTAGTAAGTAAGGCTATAAGTACCTTTATTGGGGTTATTAATATAGTTACCCTAATTATGACCCTAGTTACTAAGTCCCATGATCCTTTAAGTACAGTCACGTACACTCCTTCAGTTTCGTTTCTTGAGCTCAAGAAAGCGAGGCCGGAGGCCCTCAGCGCTTCTTGCGCGCGCGACTCCGGCTCTGGCTGGCTTTCCGCTTCCTGCAGTCATACTCTTGATGGACAAAATCCTGCATTACCTATTATAAGGAATATGCCATAGTTCCCCTAGTTTTTAGAGTCCTTAGGGTCATGCAGGATTTTGTCCATCAACAGTAGGGACCCTTAGGGCCTTAGGTGGGTAAGGGCGATCGGGGCAGGGGACTATACTTCCTTAAATAAGCCTCATCAAGTCCTGACTATGGGTATTAAGGTCCCCTACCCTCTACCCCCCCAAAGGGATGGAAGGGACAGGGCTCAAGGTCAGGTAATATAGGGGCCTTAATAAGTACAACAGGGTTTGGGGGCCCAATATATTATACTTGTATTAAGGAACCCCCAACATAGTATTAAATCAACTAATTTTAGGCCCCTATACTACTCGGCCCTGCGCACAGGGGCCATTCATGGTGGATATCTGGTGGAGGCCTCGAACTTTTAGGAGCTACAGCTCAGCTACTAAACTGAACAGTGGGTTCCTGAGCTCAATAACGAGTTGCGCGTTCTCTCTCTCTCTGCCGTGGCATCCCTCTGGAAAAGGTTTTGTCCGGACGGACCAATTATTGATTATTGATTGCAATTACGCACATGCCCTTGGATTTGGCCTCGGCAGCTGCGAAGCAAAGCTACTACGGTCGCGCTTCACTGTGCACCAAACAAAACTCCTCGATGTCGAGTACGAAACACATCGCAACACTCACCCGTGCCTGCTTCGGCTGCAGCTTGAGCTGCTCTCCCGACGTTCGCGGCTCCTGTCGCACGAATCCCCTTCGGAAGGATCAGTCAATGTGGGTAGGGTGGGCGAGAAGCCTGTTCGGGAACGTAGCGCATCGAAGCATGCACAAGAAAATGTACCCCGATTGTTTCGGGAATGTCCCTTTAATTAGACAAGCGATAGGCCCCGGATGACGGCGCAGCACTTGATCTGTCATTATTGCATTTGGCTTCGTCGGCTGGGTCAGCTGTCTGTGCACGCATATGATCGGGCTGACTGCAAAAGACCTTGATAGACTTTCACAGTCTCTACCCAGCAAAAAAATTAAACTCCAGATTCCACAGCAAAGTGCCATTGCAAGGCTGGCATCTTGCTGTTGGAGATCCACAACTAACTATTGCTGATCTGCATTCTGGCCAGTTGTGAACCGACAGTCGTTGGGGCTGTTTCCGACAGCTGACGTTCCCGGCGCATCCCCTCGCAGTTTCGGCGAGTTCTGGGTTTTGAGGCCGACTTGCAAAACAAGAACACTGTGGGTGTGCATCTGGGCATCAGGAACTCACATCGGATTTTGGGGCCACCCGCGTCGACTGAACCAAACACCTCTGAACGCCAGGCCCGAATTACATGAGCCTCTTCTTACGATCCTTGTCCTTCTCCTGGCCAGAGCCGGCTGGGCACCCTTCGTAGGCCCAAGCCCACGAAATCTGCACTGACCGAAGCAGCGTGCAGAATCATCCAAACACATCCGTACCGGCTCGATCATTAGAGCAGGTGTTCCGGCAAGACAGGTCATTCATTCATCACGTCAAATATGGCAAAGACAGATAAGCATATTTGGTATCCCGCTGCATCACTCGAAAATTCCGCGCCTCTTAACTCCCTTAAAAGTGACAGGACCTCTGCCGCTGCTGAGATTCGCCGGGCCTGGTCCTTGGGTTTGCTCTTTTCTTTCTCCTTCGCCTTCTCCTTTGCCTTCTCCTTTTCCTTATCTTTCTCCTTTTCCTTATCCTTCTCCTTCGTCTGCGGCACGGTCCGGACCTGCAGGACAGGGCCCCATGACAATCCGAAACCTTTCAAGCACTGCATGCTTGCTCTCTCTTTCTTTCTTTCTTTCTGCCGGGCTTAGGGGTCACGGTTGTGACCCTCAGGCCATTGGCCCGCCCGTCCACCCGCCGTGTTACTGAGTGGACGGCATTGCAGGCTCCAGGAGCCCGCGCCAAGGCGCCCCCTTTCCCCCATTGTTAGGTGGGAGGGGCTTTGGGGCTGCAGTGCTTGGGTCTTTCCCCCACCGGTCGGTTTGGATGGTAGCGTCGGCGTCTGCCTGTTCCCCTGAACTCTAGCGCGCGTCCCGGCCTCGTCTCCGCGCTCTCTATAGCATTATCCTTAGCCCCTCGACAGGCAGAAACCCCCAGTAGTTACAGTGGCCTGCATTCACATCATGATCTCCCTCTTCGTTTTCCCTCTGTGTTCTGGCCCGTTTGCTATCAGGACTAGCGACAGGAGAAGAAGGAAGCAAGTCACCATTTTCCAATCCAGCCATAGCAAGAGCCCAGACTAGAGGACTTTAGAACCTGAACCTCGCGCCGATACTTGAGCTTGAGCCGTTAAGGCCTACGCACTGCTTTCTGGGAAGTGATAGGGGGTTGCACTGTGCAGACAGCTTGTCGGTTATAGCTTGCTCTCTCTCTCTCTCTCTCTCTCTTTCTCTCTCTCTTCCACACACGCACGCTCGCGCTGGCTGTCTGTGTCTCATTCTTTCTTCTGGAGTGGACCGCGGGACATGGCAAGATCGTAACTTTTCTTGAAAAAGGACGAGGACACATTGACAACACCATCATATCCGTAACAAGTACTCCGCTCTCTCATGCATCAGAGCATGCAAGGACCGACTCGTTCGCTTGGATTCGATGGCTTAACGATCTCACCTTTTCACGTGCTGCGTCCTTCGCTGGCTTTGCGTCTTTCACTGCCTGGTCAGAGAAAAACTACCCGCTGGAGAGCCCGCATCACTGTATGCAGCACAAGGCGTGGTAAATTGTTGTCATAACTCGGAAAGGACTATAACTATAAAGACTCCAGCACAGACACCAATGATAGCGCGGATGGTGTCGATCAAACATAAGACAACCTGCGCAGGCACGCGGAGGCCTTGGTCTCTTTGCCATCTTTGGACTTGGAGTCTTTGGCATCCTTTTCCCTCCCTGACTTGCTATCCTTTGCATTCAATTCTCGTTGGGAGGAAGGCCGTAAGCTGTGGGGTGGGTCAGGTGCTCGATCCGGAAGCAGGTCTTGCCACAAAACACCATTCCCGGCAAAGAGGTCTTTGGCACATGAGGAGTGCATGTGAGAACCAGCTGGCTGCAGGCAAAGGTGGGTCTCGAAACCGGGCCACAAAGAAAACCAAACCACACGCCTGCCCGGCCTGCTTGCCATCCTTGCCTTCCTTGGGGTCCTCCTCCTTGGCACCAGCTTGAGGCTGCGATGTGGTCGTCTCCTGCCGTGCAGTGGAAACTCCACTCAATGTTGCCCCGCGGATCATGATGGTAACGCCGGATAAAAAGCCTCAAAACACCGTCGACGGTAAACATCAGCAAATATCAGCAACAAGCATTGTAGTTCCAGCATCTGCCTACCTTCAGCGCCACTTGGACCCAAACGTCGTGTGCAAGTCTTTGCCGCTGTGATCGCATGTGTTGGTCAGGTCCTCTGCTTGAGCCTGCTCGACAGCCTTCTGGCTTACCTTCTCCTGGCTTCCCATCGAAGGATGAACGCTGTCATGTCTACCGGTTCTGCTCGGGAATGAACGTTTCCACGAAGAAGAATACTGTGGCTGTTGAGGCGCGATATCTTGTTGTTGGTACTGTTAACCCTTTCCAGTTGAAGTCTGCATGTTCTCCCTAACCCTCCGAGAATCATGACAACATTTAATGTAAGGTTCTTACCTGATAATTTATGCAGCTTGACCGGCCAGCCCGTTTTGGTGCTTATACAACTTTACCGGTTCGGATTGATAGACGCAGTACTGAATCCAGCCTCAGTCTGCTACTTCGGCTAACTAGTGACTCCTCTCACCCCTTGCTGCTGAGGAGAAGCACATAATATAAGGGCCTTAATAATTGTTTTGGCTCTTGAGGCCCATTATTTTGTTGTTTGTACTAAGGAATCCCCCAAATAGATAGTATTAGTAATTATTTAGGCCCCCTATGGTAGCTCTCCCGCGTCTGGGCCTTCTCTTTGCTGGCTGGCATTGGCGATTCCGAGGCACCTGGGGAGGCTGTCAGACAGCCATCTCAGGCCGAAAAGCAGAGTCCAATGAGCCATGG